TTCACAACGAACACGAAACCAAACGGCGGCCGCCGCGATGACGGCGAGGCAAGAGAGCGGGGAACTGACATGTGGGGTGGGCCCTTAGAACAGTAACGGAGAACGATTGTCATCCACATGAATAGCGAGCCTGGCAAAGGTCGAGGCACTAGAAATGGCTGAAAGCCGATATTACCCTTTTAAAGGTCGAGACAAATTCATTTACGAACTATTTTTGAAAATATCCTGAACAATTTAAGAGACTTTTTTTATAAAAACATTATTTCTGAAAAACTTTCATAAGATTTTTTCTTAACTTCCAACATTCATACTATTGTTTTAATAAAATGTCAAGAAATCTTCCTTCACCAAAATTTAGAACAATGTGTTCAAAAACTGCAGTACTGGGTAGTATAACGAGTATTACGTCTAAAAGATAAATATTTCAAATGTAAGTTGTTAATTGAAAATATAGTGGCGGGATGACAAAGCTACCTGGAGGCAAATGCGCTAAAGATGAATGGTACCGAGATATTAGTGACAGTATTGTATTTATAGCTGTTGGTGGGAACAATGATTGTGGTACTAGGGGTGATGGGACTAATATCCAGATATATGTTATGACGGAGGTGGTTAGTGGTGATGATGGAGGTGGTAGTGGTGACGACGTAGGCAACAGTGGTGATACGAAGGTAGTAGAGGTTGCGGAGGAGGTAGTGATTACGGAGGCGGTAGAGGTACTGGCGGTGGCGGTAGTGGTGACGGAGGAGACAGTGGTGATGGACGCGGTGGTGGGGATGGATGGAGAAGTTGTGATGGAAAGGTAGTGATGATGGAAGGAGTAGAGGTACAGAGGCGGTAGTGATGATGCAGGCGGTAGTGGTGATAAAGACGGTAGCAATGGTGGTGACGGTAGTGGAGGTGTTGGCGGTAGTGGTGGTGATATCGATAGTGGAGGTAATAATAGAGAGAGATGATGGTGGTGACGGCGATGATGGTAGTGGAGGTGGTGAGTAGTTCATGTAAGTAGTAGACGGTAGAAGGGATGGCAGTAGTGGCAGAGACGCTGGAGTGACAACGGATGTGATGGAAGCACAGTCGCGAGTATCAGCGCGAGAGCGGCTTTTAGGGTGGCATCGGGAGCGTGTGGGAACGTTCTGCTGCAAGAGGCACTGTAGTGGACGTGGCAGATGAAGGGAGCTGAACGTGACAGAATGGAGGCCAAAGGCTACTTTTACTGAACCCGAGGTCATCGGCGGTCCAAACCCTCACAGAAAGTCAATTGCCGGCTCATTGCGAAGCTCACTGTCAGAGAACGGCTTTTCTCGTGGTTCCACGATATGATGAGAGATATTTTTAACCACAACAGTGTTAATTCATGAAGAACCATTTCCGTTTATATTCGCATAATTTCTTCCTAATAACAGAAGAGCATGCTTTTCTTATAACATATGTTATTTAAAATGTATTAATCATTAGTGCCTTTTACGTTTCAGCCACTCTCATAAGTCAATGATACTTATTAAAAAGAAACTTTACGTTCATTCTTCGATGACAAAAATAATGACGTACAACAATTAGAAATACCATGTTTTAAGCGATGTTATGATTTTATTGGGTTTGGTTTACATCTCTTAATTGACTTTATTCAGAACGATGTCTTAAGCAATTATTTTATATATTGTCTCTTAGAAACCATCACGGCAAATTTTGTTACTAAAACAGGCTTATTGTCTTTTAGAATCTATAATTAAATTACATCCGTAAATACACTTGCAGGGAAGTGGAGGGGCCAGTATCATGACATACGGATACATAGACGACAGAAAGTCATCCGCAACGAACGGAATATCGGGCGGAGACCCAAACGAATAAACGCAATGCCAAAGATATTTTTTGGTGTTAGGTAACTGAAGCGTACACTACCGCAAAAATATTGGCAACGGATTTTTGCATCGCCAAAATACTGCTTTTATTCCGCTTTTTTTAGGAAGTTCAAAGGTACGAGCAGGGAGCACAGAAATATTTCCAACAACAACCCCCATCCCTCTATCGGTATCAGGTTCTGCAATACTGATTATTGGTTGAGTCCATCATTCACCTCGAGTGACAGAAACCACATTCCAAACCTCAATCAAGCTCCATGCGTCCCAGTACTCTGTTCCTGGTGTACGTTATCCCTTTCTGTGTGTCGCCACAGCATCGAAAATCCGCTCATCTTTACAAGAGAAACTTAAAAATTCCCGAATACGGTCACCCTAATTTCACTTCTCTATCAACGCAGTACTCTATGTGGCATATTGTAGAGCGGTTATAGTTGTTTATCCATTCGTAGTGGATAATACTTATCACGTGTAATCGCAGCCGTCTGAAATGTAATTAAAATCGGTTCTCTACATAGCACAGCCAGGTGAAATAGATTTCGATATTCAAACTATTCCCATGAATGTCATTATGTTACATGTTTGCTGCAGAGACGCAGCGCAGAGGTGACGTACTAATAACACCTCCCTGTGAAAAGGGGAAATACCCTTTCCAATTCTCATTCCAAAAAGACTAAATGTTTTATTATAAAATTGTTTCATGCATTTATTCCCAGTTCGTTGATATGATGGTATACTTTAATTACTATCGAATAGATTCTAACAAAATGTTACAAAATACCCTGACACGGTCAGCAGAACTCGAATTAATAGACACTAATTTTATCATGTGATATTATCTTGTAGCCGAAATCTAATAAATTTCAGTCAAAACACAAAAATGTCACCGCAAATGCCGAACCTATCATTAATTATTTAGGGAAAGAAAACATTATAACAATATAAAATAGGCTGCATTGCTTGTCAGAGGGTTTGGGATGTTTGCTTTCAGTAAAATGAAAGAAAAAGATAGCTAATGTTTCCAAAAATTGTTGCACAATTATGAAACTTGAAATCTGAAATCTCAGTATCTATAATATACGGAGATCATCAGTTCCTTTGATGGTGGCAAGTTTCCCAGTAATTGGAATATTCCCCATTATTGGAAATATTCAATGCCAATTCAGTTTACGGAAAAGCGTGCAGCCTGCGTATATAATTCGTTCTGCGGAATTTATGGATGGCACATAATCAAGGAATCACAGAAGGCAATTACTTCATTACTAGCATCACGCCTTCATTTATTTCCTCCCAACTATGATTAAAATATATTCCATTTTAGCAGGCTTTTTTTTGGTTGCACATATTTGTTAAACTAGTACATATTTCAATAGAAGGGACAAGAAAATCTGCTGAAGGAGCATGGAAGATCAAGACATTTGCGTCGCTTGCAAGAATTTAAATATCATGCCGCCAGAATTTTCCGAATGTGTGACATTTACTTGAAAATGTACTTTGAGTTTCATTTGGGAAGGTCGTCTTTAACATCAAGCGAATGCCGAGGCAGAACACTAACAGACGAAACACGGACCCCCATCGTCCCTTCTTCATTCATATTCGTTCCTCTGCGCTTGCACACAGACACACAGTTACACTTACAAGAACTTATATTAACACACATGCCGGTAAACCACTTCGGAGTTTAGAGATTGCCCCGACTGGGGCAGTTCCTTGCCGGCGAAAATACCTGGTGGTGGTGGTGGTGGTAGTGGTAGTGGTAGTGGTAGTGGTGGTGGTGGTG